AAAAAGGTTAAATATAGGTGTCTTTTGGTATCCACAAAGGACCAAACCGATAATACCCAAGTCCCTTTTGCCCCATGGCACAATATTTGCAGATAATCTCCACAAGCATCCCAAATGTTTTATTTATTCATTTATCCATCCATCCATCCATCCATCCATTTGCTCAATTTGAGACAGGGCCTAACACAGCCCACACTGGCCACAAACTGGCTGTGTAGATGAGATAACCCTGAACTTGTCATCCTCCTGCCTCCACCACCTAAAACACCACCAGTCAGCTTATGGGGTGGAGGAGTTGGAATCCAGGACTGCCTGCATGCTAGGCAAACAGTCTATTAATTGAGCTACATCCTCAGCTACACTCCATATTAAAACAACTCTAGACAACTTATGGCACAAGATGATGTTTGTATTACGCAAATAGTTGCTATGGTGTCTTGTCTAAGGAATGACTAAGTCTGCATATTCAGTACTGAGGCAGAACTCAAGGGTCCAGAGGGCCCACTGCACTTCAACACAGAGCAAGCAAATGATGTACAGATTCATGTCCCATGAGAGAACAGACACAAAAGGACCATACTGCATGACTCCATTTATTTAAAGATTAAGAATAAACAAAACTTCAAAACTACAAACTGAGCCTGTCAGTGGTGGTGCACACCTTTAATCCCAGCACTTGGGAGGCAGAGGCAGGCAGATCTCTGTGAGTGTGAGGCCAGCCTGGTCTACAGAGTGAATTCCAGGGCCGGCTCCAAAACTACACAGAGAAACCCTGTCTCAAAAAAACGAAAAGAAAACCTACACACAGAAGTCTTGCTCGCTGACCCAGGGCGATGCCTCCCATAGACTAAGAACTCCTCTACCCTCCCAACCTCTCCATCTAGAGACCCAATTTCCCAACTCCTCCCATGGCTACAAAAGGACTGATTCCAGTAATAAGTTCTCCATCCCTAAGATTTCACAGGCGTGGCTCTCCTGGCCTGGCCTGTTTTTAATGGAAAAGATGGCTCAGTGGTTAAAAGCTTGAGTTCTATTCCAAGCACCCACATTGGTGCTCACTGTTGCCTGTAACTCCAGTTCCAGGGGACCCTATCCCTCTTCTGGTCTCCATGGGCACCTGCACACAACCCTCACAAACACACACACACACACACACACACACACACACACACACACACACACACACACAACTTAGAATATTGCTCAAAGTCAAGGATTTGCATGCTCTACAGAATACATATTACACAACTGCATAAAAGGCAGGCAGGCACCTTCTGTATCCCAAACACAACATCTAAGGACCGGCCAGCAGCATGCATGAACGGAATCCACACTAGACCTCACATACTAAGGAAGAACTGACCCAGCACTACTTGGCATACGATCTGGCAAGACATCTGGGAGCCCAGTGGGGTGTGGCTTCTGACCAGAGCCAGGGGTGTGTGCCTTATAAACAGCAAGCAGGATACATGCTTCCTGCCTAGCAAGCTCTCCACTCCCTGTGCCATGATCTGTAGTTCAGAGGAGGGCTCCAGTAGGGAGTCAGAGTCACCAAATCCAGTGTGGTCCTGACTGCAAGTTAGGGTTAGGGTCTCTACACGGGCAGAATGAGCCGTGAGTGGTGACTTCAGTCAGACTAGAGACAAGAGTCTGACTTGAGCGTCATATGAAGAACTCATCTGTCTCCTTCTGCAGGGTGACCCAACCATGTCTGAAGGAGCCAAACAAACCCTTCTTTCCGTGCTCAAAACTGAAAGGTCTTTTCATCTGGGGGAAGAATTGGGGAAAGAAGGTGCCTGTCTTTGCACTACACTAAAGCAATGGCGGTCCTCTGTAGCAAACAGGCCTGTCCGAGACAGGCAGCCTACTGCAGGAGGATGCTCTACTCAAGCCACAACTCAGTGACATAAGCTGGCCCCCTGAGCCCCTCCCACGGGTCAGGCGTGTGTACTGAGGATCCTAGTGTCACGGGACCATAGCCACCTGTGCTGTGTGGCTCTCAGGTCAGATATGCCTGCGACCCTCGGCAATGGCCTCTGGACCTCATAACTCCGGGAAGTGGAGTACTAAAGCCTGATTCTCCCAAAGTGCCAATCGGCTTCCACTTTAGTGCCTGTTCTCCCTGGGCCAACTGAACAGGATCTCAAAAGCATGATTTCTAATGCATGGAAAAAAACCTGTGCAGTGTAACAAAGAGCGCTGATCCGGGGAGATGCCCTCCAAAGGAACAGGGAGAGACTAGCTCCATGAGCATAATGGTGAATGGAAGGAGGGTAAAGGAAGAAAAAGCAGCCGTCATAAAGACAGACACAGTGATGGCACAAACCTAAGGACGTACACAGGAAAACAAGGGCAGCCTGAGACGGGGTCAGAAGAGGAACCCAGACCGCAGGCTGGAGGAAACCAGGCAGTGCATTCATCAACCGAAGAGCATTTTTGGGATCTGGGCACACACTCCCTGCAGGAAAAGCTGGGAGTCCTGCATCGCAGGACAGACTGGGGACAAATGTCCCCTGAGAACTGTCTAATCAAAGTAGGTGAGCTATGCACTGTAAGCCCAAACCCCTGTCCACTCCTAAGGCAGCCGACCCTGAGATAGAACGACAGCCCACTGTTCCCATCCCTCCCCAGAGAGTCTGAGCCATCAAGATGAGCCCAAAGGGTAGGCGGGCAAAGCTGAGGACCCTATCACCCACTGGATCACAGAGCAGCAGGGGCTGGCTTGGTTAACACCAGGGGACCCCGTCCCACACGGTTCTCGTTTTCATCTTGTGTGCTTGTGGGGACAAAGGCTCACGGCTGTCCCATGGCACTTTTCTCTGGCCCGCATTCGCCTTGAGACTCCAAAGACTGTATACCCGAGAACCTCCACAATTAGACAGGGACAAGGCATTAACACCAGCAACAGTGAAAACCAGCTGCAGAGGTGTGGGGCCGGCCGGCCTATCAGCTGGTAACAGCCAGCAAGATACGAATCCATGGTCTTCAGCACTTTCTCATGCCATTTTTCTGGAGAAATGGACCTGAGGCTTAGAGGGGGATCCAGCTGGTTAGAAAGGCCCTTCCTTAGGAGAGCCCTCAGCTGGGTTCTCCCCAGGGGGTGGGGCTCTCCAGCAAAGACAGAAATCGTAACATGCTAGGATGAGCTTCCAATGTCATGTTAGACACCAGTGGTCATCGTTTAACACAGAAACAATTCTCAGTTTGCAAAAGAGTTACCATGTTCTTGCACGCCTCCTTGTTTGATTTACGCTAGTGACAGAACCTAAGATCTCTCACATGCCAGACAGTGCTCCTCTACTGAGTGACAGCTCCAAATCGCCACCTTGCTTTGTACACGCCACTGCTAGGGTACGTCCACTCTGAGGGGTGAAAGAAGGTGACTTATAGCTGCTCAGGTACCTGGTCAGCTTTCACGGTGGGACGTGAAGTTTGCTAGAATCATCATAAACTGTAGAAACACTCTAGAGACCAGACCCCAGCCAAACCTGAATCTCTGTGGTGACGTGGTCTACGCATCTCCTTCCACCCCAACTAGTTCTAACAGTTCCCAGGCTTAGAAGATGGGAAAGGATACGGCACACGTTCAGCTGAGAGGTTGGAGGCTCAGCTCACGCACCCTTGGGTGGCCTCCACCAGCATACACGTCACCACCCACTCAGCAAGCAGATCGCTACTTTCTCCAAGGAGAAAACAACAGCAACACAGGAGAACTGCCTAACCGACTGTGAGCAATATTCCAAGGAATTCAAGAAAATGACGTGTACGATTTGGGTTTGGGTGTTTTTGTTCAGGAAGAAGCGAACCAGTTGTTACCATCCTGTCTCTTTTGAGGTGAAGCTACACCACAACACATCCAAAGATAGCCCGGTGATTGTATGTTTACCAGGAAGTGCTACACCCATGTAACCCATGTGGGTGGGGGGAAGACCATGTACCGAGGGATCATGGCCGCCAAGGCCAGCTCTGGACCTTCTTCTGCCAAGCAAATCAAAGTTGTGGGTACCCAAGGAAGGGAAATATAGCCTGGTGCCACCAAGGTCAGCCTGAGGGTTAGGAGGGACTCTGTCCAGTCCTCTGCCCGGCCAACAGGGCCGCCTGTCAGAGAGACTCCCATCTTCTACTGGATCGGCATGGCTGGCTTTGCCAGTCACCATCAGTTAGGACTGAGTGCTCATTCATGGTCAGGAAGGGATAATGATCAGAGACCTCACCAAGTCCGCAGACTGCCACCAGCACACCTCTGAGAACAAAAGAGCTTTGGGGTACGGCCACGGGTGCTCTCTGCTACAGAAAAGCCTGAGGAGACCTCGCCACAACTTGGTTTCCAGATGAGCAGATTCGGAGACGGCTGGTGACCTGGCAGTCCCAAGGCCATGATGCCAACCGGACAGTCTGGAAGGACGTGACAGGCACTGCTGTGACACAGTAAGGACAGGCCGGCTCCGCAGGTCACCAGCAGCCCAACTGTCCCCTCTGTGCCACGGGGAGCCCAGTGAGGCGGAGTACGGCAGGGAACTCCAAGGGACGTCTGCTGCGGAGGCCCTTCAAGCGGGAGGCCGTAGCACGTCCTCAGCATTGTGGGCACCGACAGGGAAAGAACCTCCCAGCCTTTACACGGAACCACATGAAAAATGTCCCATGGGGCCGAGTGATGCAGGAAGGGCCACAAGTTCAAGGCCCGTCCGGGCAAATTAGAGACCTCGTCTCAAAATACAAAAGCAAGAAGGCTGGGGGTGTAACTCAGCAGTGCTCGCCTGCCTAGCACACACAAGGCCTTCCGTCCAGGCCCGGCACCCCTCCCTCACAGAAAGAACACTGTTGTGACTATTATTTATTTTCCTATATCAACACCTCTCCCTATGGTGATATTTTATTTGTACTGAAATGTGACTTGTATGTTAATAAATAAAGTTGCCCGGGGGGGGGGGGGGGGGGGGCGGGTCAGAGCTATTAGCAAGCCATAGCGAAAGCTGGGCGGTGGTGGTGCACGCCTTTAATCCCAGCACTTGGTAGGCAGAGCCAGGAGGATCTCTGTGAGTTCAAGGACATAGCCAGCATTGGAGACACAGGCCTTTAATCTCAATACCAACCATAGAAGACCTGGAGGTCTGTACAGACAGGTAGTGACGAGGCGGTCATGTGGCTGGGTTTACAACCAATGAGAAGGCAGGACAGAAAGTCTTTATAAAGACAGGCACACAGGAAGTAGGTCTCTTTCAGAGAGGTAGGACCATCGCAAGAGGAAGGGTAAGGTTTTTAGGTCTTAGCTCTGACCTCTTGACTTTCTTCTTTGCATTGGTTCTGTGTTTCTTACTGAATAAGATGGTTACTTCTACATCTCCCTATCCTTTTTTGGGCCAGGGGATGTGGCTTCTTTCAAAAGGCCTTCCTCCTCTTCAAGCAGACAGATCAACGTCTCCTAGGTGCAAAGGATGATGAAGTCTTAGGGCAAGCAATGTCTCTCTCTCTCTAGCTCTTTCCGCATCTGAGGCATGCCCAAGTCTAGGACCAGGCTGTGTGGATGAATCAAGGGAGGCAGCAGGCTGTGTGGACAGTCAAGGGAGGCAGCAGGCCGTGCGGACAGTCAAGGGAGGCAGCAGGCTGTGCGGACAGTCAGGAGAGGCAGCAGGCTGTGTGGACAGTCAGGAGAGGCAGCAGGCTGTGCGGACAGTCAAGGGAGGCAGCAGGCCGTGTGGATAAGTCAAGGGAGGCAGCAGGCCCTGCTCCCACCTTTCCCACCTCAGCTGAGGAGATCAATTGAAGGGAACAAAAGAGCTAGAGCTCGGCTGCCTGCTTCTGGGGGCCTTCCCCCAGACAGAACAATGAGGCTGAGTTTTACGCCATGACATCATCAGCCACCAATCACCACGGATGAGGTGGAGCAGGTTTTGTCTGTGAACAAGAGTCTGCCATTGCCAGGTGGCAAAGGGCAGTGCAGGTGTAAGGCGGGCATTTTCTTTTCCCCGTTTCTGTGTGAAACTGTAGAAGAAAGCTGAGAAGCAGCGGGGAAGAGCTCGCTAAGGGAAAAGAAAATCAGAAACCTAAAATGCCCTGGGTGTGTGTCCCAGGCCATCGGGGAATGTACCTGTCCCCTCCCCCCACTGCCGGCGACAGTGGAGGCCTTTGTTCCAGGAGGCAGCCAGTGACATCTTTCCCAGCGCTCCTTGCCAGGCAAAGAGCCAGCGTTTCAGGAAAGCGTTGGCTACCACTGGGGCTCGTGTGTGCAGGTGTGTTTTCAACAGGGGTTCCAAGCATCGAGGGGGGGGGGGGCGCGGGGGAGGACAAGGAAGAGAATGTAGCCAGTCCACAGATTCGGTTTCCACTGGGGTATGGAGGTTCTTGGGACTTGGCGAATGATTTGCAGCTTACTTTCCTCCAGAAAATACTGGCGATCTTATGAATGAAGCTGTGTGGCCAAGGTTGGAATATGAAAGGGGAGGGCAGCAGGGAGCCAATACTATTTATAAGAGCAAAGCCATGCTGATCCCCGCCCCCCCCACCGCCAAAGAATATTATAAAAGTGGAGGGGGGGGGGGGGAGACAAAGCGACCCACCCTCTGCTCAGCAAAACACTCTATGCGGTCTGCCCAGCAGATATGCAGCCAGACTCCTGGGTATGAAACAGTGACTCTGAAGAGAACAAGCTTTCAAGACATAGGCCCACACTGGCCACCAAAGACCCAGGAGGAAGCCTACAGGGTAAATTCTTTTGATTTTTTTGTTTTGTTTTGTTTGCAGTACTGGAGAACGAACCCAAGGAACATGGAAGTTAGGCAGGTGTTGCACCCTCAGTCCTGAGAACTGCATCGCTAACTGACAGTGGGCTTGTGAGGGAGCAGGGGCACCCCAGTGATTGATGGAGGTGGAGGGGGGCTGGACAAGAACAGGATCCTCCTAACAGCTACACTGCTTATGCTGCTTATACACCTAACAACACTGGGCACTTCGGTGCTCCCCAAACTTTCTACACGCAGTCTGTATGAAACGCCATCAAATAAAAATGTCTCACGCACTGTATTATTCTTTTTTTTAATACATAGCAAGACTAGCTGGTGTGGTAGTCTATACCTGTAGCCCTTCTGGTGCTCAGGAAGCTGAGGCAGGAGAATCGATTCTGAGGTCATCCTGAGCTAAATGAGTTCCCTACCAGCCTGAGCAAGACTGACTCAATACAAACAAACAATGATAAAAATTAGGTTAACAGGAGCAAAATTAAGACAGTATGTAGCTGGGTGTGGTTCGTGGCTTTAATTCCAGCATTTGGGAGGCAGAGGAGGACAGGTCTATGTAGAAAGATCCAGAACAACCAGGGCTACATAATTGAGTCTCTGTCTTAAAAATAAAAAAAAGACAAGGACAATAACTATACAAGCTAACATTTATTCCGGGCTAGACAAAGGTGACAGTGATACCCTTCAGGGCTGGCTGCTGTGGACCGTAATTCTCCACAGCTCCCAAAAGGACAGACCTGGCTCCCTCTCATACTCCTGGCTCAGCAGTTACCTTTTCCCAAGTTGTCTCCCTGCAGGGGAGGCCCCCTCCCCGGCTCAACTGGACTAGCGATGCAGCTAGACTACAGCCCAAGGCTCCTGCCTGAAACCATCCAAGACCTGTGCTCACTGTGCCCCGTCCACCCACGCACATGAAACGCTTGAAGAAGGGACACCTTGGGCTCTGAGCCCAAGCTGAAGTTCACCAGCTGGGGTGGAGCCGCTTCCCTGACAGGCAGGACCGACACCTGCTGTGAGCTCTCTGATCCTTAACCCCTGGGGCCCTGTGAGGTCAACAAGCTCCCCTAAAAGGAAAGGAGAGCCCACATTAAGACCACCCATTCTTACTGACCCCCAGGACACTCCCAAATAAAACAACAGCCGAGTCTCACAAAGAACTGGCACCAGTCCCCGAGGGGCTGTACCCTGAGATTTGGCTGCCCACTGCCCCAAGAGACAGGGTCCTGAGAACTGAAGTCTCCTCCACACCAGCCTGGTGACAGCGGCAGGAGCCCTCCACACCACCAAGAATGCTTCCGCCTAGCCCACCACATCAAAGACCACAAACAAGGCAATTTTTCTGCCCAGAGATGGGAGAAAGAAGGGCTGAGAGAAAAGGGAGGTTATATTTAGCGAGCGGGCCAAGATAAAAGGAATGGGATGAGTCACCCAGGCCAAGCACAGCTCAGGCGCTTAACCATTGCTCAGCACGGGGGTCGGCCCACCAGAAGACAAGGCAGGGCAGAGCAGAGCCAGGGGCAGCCTGCCGAAGAGCAGGACATTCTCAGGTTCTGGGAAAAGACAGACGCACAGAGGGACACAGCAGATGTGAAAGTTAGGAGAGAAAACAGAGAACACGGTATTGGAGGCTGATGGGGTGCAAATCCCTGAAAACAGGTGTCATCTAGCGCTTAGAGAGCCCTCTAGATGCTCAGAAGGCACAGAAAGAACTCTTGCCATTCCAGCCACAGCAGGTCCATTTAACCTTGCTTTAAGCCTGGAAAGGTAGGAAGATCTGACTTTCCTTAGCTCCGTGGGGAAAAACCTCTACTCTTAAATGAGGAGTGGGGAAATGAGGCAGCCAGTAGGTCAACACCTTTCTAGACCATCCAGCACAGTTCGCCCCCAACCCTATGTTCTATAGTACATGGCCCCCTGTGTAGACCCGGGACCCAGGCTGCCCACTCACTGCCCAAAATGCAGCCCAGGGAAATGCTTTCACTTGACCCTAAGAGGCTCCCATGTGCTACAAATGCATGTGTGAAAGATTCAGCAAGGCCTCCAAAGTGCCACACACATGCAGACACACCCACTGCATGCACATGTGGGCACACGCACGGGGACATCACAAACACCTGCATCCCCAGATGACTGGGTAACACACATCCAAAGTCAGCAGACTGTGATACACGGGGCGCACAGTAAAAGCTTACATTTAGGGTGACAGTGGTATTTATTTTACAGGACTCCCAAACACCGTGCACAGAGCTCAGCCATCATGGGAGGTACATGTCTGGTCTGAGGGAGCAGTCCCAGGTTCTCACAGCTGCCTATTTTTAGCCTCTGGTTTTTCCTGCCCTCTTCCCCAGGGAAGGCCCCTCCCTCTGCTCTCTGGTCCACGGCTCACGAGCAGGATCCTGACGCTGAACTGGAAGGTGGGGCTGCAAGAGCCTCAGCCTTGTCTCCCCATGCCTCACACTTCAGAGCGTAGACTGAGAAGCCAGATCAAAAGTAGGGGGAAGAAACACTTTAATTTCTCAAGACAAGTAGCAAGGTGGCTGTAGAGAAGTAGTATGTGAAATGCCTGTTGTCCATCAAGGTTCAGAGCTTGAAATCTGGCCAGCCTCCACCATGGCCCATGATTGATACTGCAGCTTGTACTTTACAGGTGACGTTCTGCCCACCAAGACAGCAGTCACTCAGCAGCCAGGATGGCTGTAATTCCAGCCACATAACAGTGGCGTGCCTCTTTCTATAGCATGGTTCTCTGAGGAGGGAGGAAGCTTGGTGCTGTCTTGCTCTAGACAAGGGGTTCTCAACCTGTGGGTTACGACCCTTCTGGAGGGTGAACTGGTCTTTTCACAGGGCAACGTTGCATATCAGCTATCCAACATATCGGGCGTTTACATTATGACTCACAACGGTAGCAAGATTACAGTTACGAATTAGCAATGGAAATAGTCTTAGGATTGGGGGGTCATCACAACATGAAGAGCTGTATGTATTAAAGGGCTGCAGCATTCCAAAGGCTGAGAAACACTGCTCTAGAATCTTACCATGTGGCACTCCCTTCACTAAAGCTCACAGTTCTACAAACGTACAGCTGTCATGGAATCACCACAGTAGACTGCCGTGGGTCCCGTCATCTTGGCTGTGACAGGTTGACCCGCCACTCTAAAACCTGGAAGTACAGGGGCCTTGATACTCTGAAGAGAACTAGAAGATTTTATCATGACCTAACAGGTTTAGACACAGCAAAGGAGATGGATCCCATGTAAACAATGTGGGTTTTTTTTAAAACCTAAGGCAAAGGAAATGACAGCCAGCCAGTTGGTATAACCATTTGTCTTCAAGCACCACGCAACGCACATGAGAGGTCATCGACATACACGGTCTCTTCTGCCACTGACACCACACTGCTCTCAAGTCATCAATGCGTAACTAGGAGACATCAACTCTCCACTCCTGGTTCTCTGGTCATACCATGTAGATACACGAACCACAGCCCTCTGGGGTGGCCAGTTCCAGCCCATCCTCCTCCTCCACTTGCCACTGAGGTAGAAACTCTTCGATAATTGTCAAGTCCTCCCCTCATCCCCCTCCTGTTCTGGGGTCCAGCATCTAAGAACAAGAGCACCACTTCTGTGCCAGCTCTGGGCAGGGGGTGGGGGGTGAGGGGGTGAGAAGAGGGGGGACTTGCCAAAACACTGAGAGGGGATGGGGCTTGGCAAGGTAGGTGTGTTCTCCCTCAGTGGTCACATTTCAGCTCTCCCAGATCTTCACCCAGCAGCCAGACTGCATTTACTACTACTACCCAGACTACACCCTTCCCCAAGATGTGTGATCATACAGGTCCCGGGACCCTGCTCCCCTGAAGCTTATGACCCATCCTGGAAACTATGAAACAATACATGGAGAGAGATGGAGCATGATGATATCAGAGGCTGCCTCTATTCTGTTCCTTTTATAAAACAGAAGGTATTACAAAGATTAACGAGGTCCAATTAAGATACCTGAAAATATCAGTTATGGCCAAGTGCATGAATACATTCATCAGCTACCACTTACAGAGTACTTATGTGCCAAACACTGCTGCATGATCCTGCATTAGCTCACTTCTGTCTTCAGAATAACACTCTAAATATAGGGCTATCCTCACTTTGAAGGTCAGGAAATGAAATTACAGTTCAGAGAAGACCATTACCTCCCAGGGTCATGATGCATGGAGACTCGGGCTGGCCAGTCCGAGCACCTCTGCCCCTCCCAACGCGGCCTCACTTGGTCAATTCAAATGCAGTGAACTCTCTGCTGCTTCCTGTGAGCACACGCCATTATGTGTCATTCAATTTCTCCTACGCTTCTACAGATTTTTAAAAAAACAAACGGTGATTGCTAATCTGCAGGTATTCATTGGTGCCTGCCCTGTACCAAGGCCATCCTGGATGCAGAGACCCAAAGAAAAGGAAGCTATATAAGAAGAAACTGGGGGGGCTGGAATGATGGCTCAGTGGTTAAGAGCACTGACTGCTCTTCCAGAGGACCCAGGTTCAATTCCCAGCACCCACATGGCAGCTCAGCTGTCTGTAGCTCCAGTTCTAGGGGACCTGGACACCCATGGCAAAACACCAATGTACATAAAATAAAAATAGATAATCTTTGGGGTTGGGGATTTAGCTCAGTGGTAGAGCACTTGCCTAGCAAGCGCAAGGCCCTGGGTTTGGTCCTCAGCTCTGGGGGGGAAAAAAAAAAACAAGAAGAAACTAAAGAAACTTCATTTAACTCAATATAAACCATGGGAAATGAGTAGAGCCCAGGACTGTTGCTGGACGCTCACAATGTGTCCTGCACAGGGCAGTCAGGTTCCAGAGGTCCCAGAGGATGACGCAATGCTCCGTTCTAACAAGCCTGTGGGCTATGCTCCTGTCACAGCCTGCCAAGGGGCTCAAGCACTTCAAACTACTAAGAGGTCCGGAACAGGAAAGACTCGAGTGAATGGGGAAGTTAGGAAGATGAGCAGAACGTAGAGAAGTATGGGGTGGAGTGTCGCTGGGAAGCAAGGAGGGAGGGAAGCACGAAAGCTCATCATCCAGGGCATGGGGAGCAAGTGGGGGTGGGGAGGACGGGGACAAACGATGAAATGTAGTAGAATATTATTTTAAGGTGTGTTACTTTTGTTAACTCTGTGAAGCTGTGTTACTGTGCCTGTCTAAAACACCTGATGGTCTAATAAAGAGTTGAACAGCCAATAGCAAGGCGGGAGAAAGGCTAGGCAGGGCTGGCAGGCAGAGAGAATAAATAGGAGGAGAA